TCACATTTCAGCAGGTTGTAAAGTGACAAACAAAATGGATAAAATAGTATCTCGTTCACTCCTGAGGATAGAGGACACTTGTTTCCAGAAAAGGTTGGGCGAATTCATCATGGTTCCTCATTTCTTTGGTCGTCCACGTCTAAGCAGCTTGATGGGGGAACGGTTGGCAGACCAGCTTCTAATTTTTAGGCACGCACCGTCTTTGATCAGACGCATAGCTTCCCGTACTGCAGTTTCTCACGCTTGGAGAGGCCTGACACTGCCGATGGTAAACTCGGTCATAATTGAGGAAAATGTGAAATGCATGCACGTTTACTGAAAGCTGATTGCTGGTCAGGGATAGATAGTGCTTCAGCAACAGAGCAGCCCTCCGACTTGTAATGATTAACTTCGTTTGCATTTGCTGAATCGACTCTGTCAACATGTGCAGAGGTTATACGTTTCGCGTAGAAGAGTGGGCCATAAGATATCAGACGGCGAGGCGTTTCTGGTAGTAGCGGTAGGAATAAAACCTGCACTGGGTAAAACGACACTGACCTTTCAGCAAATTAGGGCCAGCCAACTCGTCTGAATCTTTGTTTGATTGCAGAGATAGGACCACATGCCTACAATTACGTCTTCCTCGAGTGAATCATGAGAATCATTCTCAACAGACCTGACAGTCGGTCGCGACTTATGCTTCGTAATCCACTTTGAACCTCATAACACTTCATTTTCATATGTCCATGCGCAGTCCCAAGGGGGTCCAAACAGTATAGCAATAATAAATTTCTATTAATGAGTTATAGGATAAAGTGCCATTTTTGCAGGCGATGTCTAAATGTTATTTCCTTTCTGGAGTTGAAAAAGTTTTGATAGGAATAAACCATCGTCCCATGCGAAGTCTTATGGAGTAAACAATTGTTTGGATATTGCTGGCCACAAATAATGTATGAGAGTGACGTCGTTAAACAGCGGTGGTGAAAAATAATGCAGGTATGGTCACTCGGTATAAGGCGTATCGCGTGAATAACGAGTCAGGTAGTCGATAAGAGCGTATTGCTGTCTGATGATGAGAACAAGAAAGCTGTCAGTGTTTCGACAAATTTGTACCTACTACAAACTGCGAGCGAAACTAGAGTTAACTGCTAGGAGGGACGGCGGGGCGAACTCGGGTCTGGTATTGCATGGTGATATGCAGAGTGTAGCAACTGTTTAGGTCTATAATGTTGTAAATGGGATCATTTGAACAAATGAGGCCAGAGATGCGGTTCTCCCCAGCCACTGATGTCATATTACGGTGGGGAACATATGAAGTTTCACCTTCAAACCATGCACCAAGACATTCAGGTAGGGGCGTCACATTAGGTTACATTCGGTTAGCTTTGTGCTGGATATGCGAGTTCGTAGGTCACGGGTGACTTTTCGATCAGCTGATATCCCAAAGGCAGAAATGGCTTAGAGGGTTGTTAAGGCGAATAGTTTTGGATTTTTCCTTTACGTATGACGAGCTTTTGTTGATGGATATGCTTCGTTGTGGTAAAATAGTGAAATGAACTGCCTATAATCTAAACTCAATGGACGTTATTTTTGATTTTTCGTGAACGTTATGTATTTAAGCAGGAAACGTTGGGTACGTTAATCAGGCAGGTTTCAGTCTAAGTAGCAATATTTGTCAAGATTGAACTGCTACTAAGCACTTGAAGGTCATTTTTCAATGCATTGTACGTTAACATTGTAAGTTTTTCCCCTCGTTGGCTTCAAAATGCTTTCTGCCCCAGCTCTAATATGAAAGTTGATTTCCCCATATGATATATTATCCTTCTTGAGATAGCTGTTTTGACATATTGGAAATTTGCTGCTGCCGTGAACGTTTTGACGGCAGCTTAGATTGCTGTTATGATGTGGATACCATTTCCGAAGAAGTGTCGGTGGTTGCAAGTGCAAAATTATAGGGGAGGGTGAACGGTACGTGAGGAGTAGTATGCAAACAATTGTCTACTCTGGGAGCCTCCATATGACATAACGAGTTATTTTAGAATTTTCTCAGCCAAAGGCTCGGGAGAAACATACTCAACGTCATCCAGAAGGCTGGACTGCACTCGCTGGGGGTTGGGCGGAAAACCGTCCATACCGAACAGCCTTTTTACCAGCGACCACCTACCGGCTGAAAATACCCAGGCTGAAATCCCCCGTGTCAGCAGCGATCACGACATGGTAGTGTTCTATCTGGTATTCAAAGAAAGACCGTCATGGGAGGGATCCCGCCCTTGTCTTCGCTACAGCAAGACAAGCTACGTGGCGGTAAACCAATATCCATCAACAGCACCACAGCCTCAGGAGTGGATTAACCTTTCGATTGATCAACATCGGGAACTAGTTAGAGATACCATCAAGAGGGCTACCTCTGAAGACGTCCCAGTAATCACAGCAATACCGAGGAAGTGAGCCGCGTGGCTGTAACAAGACACTGAACGACTTTTGAAAGCCAAGAGGAAAGCATGACGTAAGTGGAGGACTTCCAGAAAGGAGTTTGACCACACAGCGTATACGGCACTAAGGATGGACGCAACATCAAGATTGGGGATGTAGGAGGCCACTCTGAACGAACTTTGCCCCGAACCTCGAGGTGAACCCTAAAACCCTATATCGATTTATGGTAGGCAGAAAATCCACCAGCCAGGCCGCTTACATTTTGAAAGGCATGAACGGAAAGAACTTGCCGAACCAGAGATCGCCGAAGCAGCTGAACACGTCTCCATCTGACCAAATCCGCCAACTATCCGAGCAGCATTCAGCACCACCAAATGCAGTAGAGTCGTATGGAATACAGGTACCCCCTGATATGGTCCTCGAAGGTCTATCATAGCTCGCTGGATGACGTCACCAGGATGTGATGATATCCGGCCGGCTATGTTAAAACTATCCGCGGCTACCTTGTGCAGCCCGCTGCGTAATCTGTTTCAAAAGTCCTGCGACGATCATATACCTTCATGGCGGTGGAAACGTGCCACGCTATTCCCCATTTTCAAAGTAGGAGACGGAAGAACCTGGAATGCCATCTACCCATAGCCCTCCTACCAGTGGTGTCACAAGCAGTAGGCAGCCTGGTAGACGACCATGTCAGAGAGTATTTGGAAAATAGGGAAGCACTTGGTGATTCCCTGAATGGTTTCAGAAAGGGTAGGTCCTGAGCCCCAGACATTCTGGCAGCCGATGATAAATGGACGGTATGTTGGAAGCTTCGAATTCCTGTTCATGCCATTTCCCTGGATTTTGTTAAGGCCTTTGACGCAGTCCCGCATATCATTCTCATTCACAAGATATCAAGGTTGGGTATCAACAGCCAAGCGCTTCCCTGGCTATAGGGCTATTTAGAAGACAGGCAATTCTGCACAAAAGCCAACAGTTTTCTCGACTTGGAGGACACTATCATCTGGTGCATCACAGGGAGCGATTCTGGGTCCGCCGCTATTCCTTCTTCTTGTGAACCACCTCCCACTGAATCTCAGCTCATGGTGTTATGTTATGGAGAAACATGACGTCCAAAACAGAATCAAACGCACTGCAAAGCGATCTCAGATTACTTGCAGAGTGGGTGGATATTATTGGACTAACATTCAATCTCGATAAGTGCGGGGCCCTGACTCTCACAAGGCACTCTATTCTCTCTGTGAATCGCAACTTCCCCACACCACCACGGAGAAAGATCTAGGACCAATACCGAATGAAAAACTAGACGCTAGCCCCAATTATTCAGGAGACGCCTACAGAGCCCACGTGGTACTGCAGATCATGCGCGGACAAATAGGTGCCTTGACCCCAGAACTCTGCTTGAAGCTTAACGAGAGCAACATACGACCTCGCTTAGAGGTCGCGCCTCTTCTCTCTGCGAGTTTGTGGCCACCACGACGCATTGTCTGCAGAGATTGCTACTGCTCCGTGTGTTGACAGCTTCAAGGTGGAACTGGACAGTTGCACAGCGACGTACGGTTTGCGCTCATCCAACCTGAATATGGACTAGGCTGATACGACTTACTAACTTGGTACGGCCAACCGTTACTGAATCCTTTGTAACACCACTATCACTGGGGACTTGGTTCAACTTTATACCTCCCTATAGATGTCCCTTCCAGTTACCGTTTCCTACTAATAAAATTGTGGCGTCACACACTTCCCCAAAATCAATAGCCTAGGGTTTGACGACATTCAAGACTGATACTGACATCCATAGTTTAACTGGATTCGCTAAGCTGAAGGCACCCGGTCAAGCACCCTCGCCATTTGGCACGCTGTCGTGTTACGTTGCACTGCTCGTATTCGACTCTCTAGCCAGTCAGTTGGAACGTATTGGTATCTTGAGACAACCATCCTAATATACTGTTCCATCCGACTACACCATCGTGTTTTTCCTTAGTCTCGTACTCGTGGGAATATAACAAGTCTGAACAATTAGTGATTGGTCTTTGCGTCTGTCAAGTTCGCACCAGGACAAATCCTAAAGAATTACTATCTCTATCCCCATAAGCCGTCCTATAAAGTTATTTTCTCCCTCTCTTCCCAATGACTTTATGTTCTCACACTTTAATAAAAGCTCTCCCTGGCACCCTTTTCCTATGAGTTTACCTGTGTCTCGTCTTCCGTACCATTTCCTCTTTCCTAATCGCTTTTTTCTATTGTTCATTTTGCTTGTCACTTTTTCTCCCTTCATTTCTCTGGACATGTGTTCCATCACCCTTTTACAAAAGGTCCGACCAATTGTCTGCTGGCACGACACTTGAGGAACCCATCCGCACCACAGTTCATGGAAAAAACAACAACACATACTCCGTACAAATTTTACCAACACACAACTGCCCTTCGGGCTAACCAGAGCTACAGCAGTCAGGTGGGTAGACCTGATGCATCGGAATCCTCCAGTGATCTGAAACCGTCCCATAAAACCTAGTAGCGAGCTCAAAGAAATCAATCGGTTTACACAAGCTCGCAAAAAGTATTGCATATTGAACTATTGTTATTGGATGCTGCATGATGGTGGTCTTGACAACAGACCGCATTACTTTGAAATAATGGGAGATTTAGGAGATTTCTTAGATAAGTGGCCAGCTCATGCTGCTGGCCGATCTTATGCAAGATCTAATGCAGTTGTTGTAAATGGCAGAATAGTATCCTTATCAGAAGTCGAAACAAGTTAACATCATTTTTCTTTTTATGACACCAATACCCATCAAGAAATTCCTAACCTTGTACCTAGACCTAAGTTTCTTGAAACTATTGAGAGAAAAATAGCCGAAAATCTGAAAATCATACAGCCGGATGATAGAGACTCCAGATTTCAGGTTGAATATTCGCTGGAATAATATAACCAAATTCATAGATTTTTAGAGAGGCCTTTCAGACATTCATTTGCTCATTCAGAACATACCAGTCCTTTTTGTCTACTATTTGTAAAGAATATGAAGACTGCCTGAGTTTTTATAAGGCTGAAGCTCAAAACTCAGGCCAGTAAAGGTAAACAAGCGAGATTCATTATTCCAATAAATACTATCTCGCATAGGAGTATCTATGGACTATTTCTGAAGAATGCAATGAACGTATACTGAAAATTCAAAAGGGAGAAAAGCCAGGTAGTCTTTCAACTATGATTGATAACTTCTAAAGAAATAAACAATCTAAAACGTGAGATTGTAAGACTGAGAGATATAGTTTCGGAGTTGAAAGAAGAGAAGCTAAGCTTAGAAACTCAGGTGAGCAAATAATTTTTCTCAGTCAAGATATACATATTAATTAAACCATCTTGTGAAACATATTATGCATTTCTTCTGCAGAAATGGGTTCTTTTTGTGGAAAGAGGGCTTCTAAACTACTTATGAGGAATAGCAAAATCGGATCATTCACTTAAACAACCACTATCTCCAAAACCAAAAGATTGAAACTTAAAAGTACTTCTTATAAATTGAAAGAGCACAAGCGGGCAGCGAGAAACATGCAGTAAGAACTGGATGTGAGGGAACAAATTATAGAATTGCCTAAGATTCAGATTATTAAAATTTGAATTCTCAATGACAAGTTAACATTATTCAGATTTTTTCAGATTCAGATTTGTTATGAGCCTATATTAATCCTTCTTCAGTAGAATTATGTGCATGTCGAGAACCACTTTCAATGGGTCATTTGATGATGCGGACACTGCTTCTTCTGGGAGTCGTTTCCAGGCGTTGATTACTCGGATCGAGAACCAATACTCTGCGGAGACTTTGTTCGTTATTTGATTTGACAGCCTCCTACTATGTCCTCTGAGGTATTCCAACCTCCTTCCGTGATGATCACATAAAAACCACCATAATTAAAATTGTTTCAGGGATTCTAATGTCCATTTTTATTTGACCCCTCAGTGGAGCTCAAAAAGAAAACTTGAGGAAGCCAAGCAGGTTTCAGATCTGAGTGAGACGGTTTTGGTCAAATTTTAACTTTTCTGTCGGCTTGAAAAAAGGCACACATGCAAGCAATGGCGAATGTCAAGGATGTCCATTATGAACACACTTATTTTTCTTTGTAATGGATGTACTGATAGATAAAATTACATACTTCCGACTGCTCAGGGGCGGATAACTAGTCAGAGGACACCAAGCTGATTTATATTATGCAAACGGCATAGTTCTTTTGGGAGAGGACAGTGACAAAATATAAAATCTTCCCCTGAACAGAATTCTGAGTACTCTTGGCATGCACATTGCACATTTTAAATATAAGTGGTGTTTCAGGATAAGTCTGCATCAACTCTTATTTAAAACCTTAGGAGTGGGGTGCCAAAGAGTATTGGCCAATTCAATTACTTGGGAAGTTGCATGACACAAATCAGTTAATTGTTGGCCAAGTCTCAGTTCAGATGCAAAAAATTGGTTTGTTAATCACCAACTTACGCAATCTCTGTTGACAGTGATATTTCCGACAACCTATTGAAGGACAGAAATATTGCTCTGCAGTCCACTATCTTCTATTATTTGGCTATTCAAGATGACTGTTGAAAGGAGAAGATATTGAAACGTTACATGTTTGACCGTGGGTGTCTTCGCTGCATTGCTGGCATTTGTTGTGTCCACGGTGTGAGCAACAGCAAGGTTAGGTGAACAGTGCCAGGCAAGAAAGACAAGTCATCTGATGAGGTTCATAAGTTCCACTGACTAAGGTGGCTTAGACATGCATCATGCATGCCAAACTACCACGTACCTTCACGTACAATGTTTACCGAAATTGCAGCGGGCTAGGAAAGGACAAGGAAGACTAGACTAAAGTGTAACACCAGTCCATGAAGTATTCGGGTGTTGGTCTAAGCCTTACAGAGAGGTATAGACTGGTTTAAACGGATAGTAAAATTCAGTAGAAAGGTAGAAGCAGGGAGTGACTAACTGAGAACAATAATACTTTACTGCTGTTGTCACCAAAAATGTTAATAACCGGATAAATGATAACGAGAGTGAGAGAAATCAGGAAGATCTAATAATTCGGCATTATAAGTTAGAGATTAACAAATATTCCACAGTAAGAGCAGCTGGTTGGTCAAAGATCCAGGACTTTCTTTTACAGTTGGCCATACTGATTATACGGTTCAATTTTTCTTTTGTTTATGGCTGAGAAGTGTACTTCACAGGAGAATAAAATTAGGTTAGTGATTAATGATCGGAATATGAAAGAGGGAAACCGATGAGCTACTGAACACGTTGTACATTTTTCCGGCATCTCAAACAAATGCCTGAATTTTTTGAAAGACGGCATCTCGATCTTGCACTAATGTAGAGTGCACGATTTGCAAGACAATGTCTTCCAAAGACTTGTAATTGAAAGGAAGAAATTCTTATTCACAAAAATGTTAATTTAAGCATGAGGTGGAACAAAATGATCACCAAATATAGAATAGCAGCCAGTCAAACGGCCAACATTGTTACAAGCCAATATGTCAAATACAAAATGAAATCTATTGTCTTGTGAGTTGAACAATTATGGCAGGCTGAGTTTCATTTCTTGACGTAGTATCAGACAGAAAAATGTCTGGAAACGCACGTAACAGCTGACTTCATCACATATAACCGCATTGCGATTATAATTTTTTTCATACCGCCACATGGGATAATTGAGACAGTAAGCAACACTTTCATTGGGTTTCACCTCTTTTTCTATTTAGAAGTACTTAATGAACCTGTTTACAGGCTTTTCATCATTGTGTCAGGTAACAAAAATTAACTTAAATGAATGTAGCAACAAGAAATAAATGTGGACAATATTTAAACAAAAATTAAAAATGCTGAATTGTAGCCTCCTCATTCTTATTTTCACTCCCAGGTTGAACATTTAACTCAGTCACTAAAAGAAGAACATGATAGATTTAGATATGAAGCAGATGCAAAACTTTTGTTAATATCAGAAATTAATGCTATGCGAGTGCAATTTGACGAGATTGAAGGAGTAGCTAAACAGACACAAAATAAAGGAAATCAGTATGATGATCCCCTTCTGTTGAAAATAGCCTTAGAGTAAGTAATATAATTTTGCTTAACTAAGACACTCATATATCGGTTTTCACTCTTTCTACATGTATAACGGGAAATAAATTGCAAACCTTTCCTGTCATCTTTGTGTTGAAGCGTGATTTTTCCTCACTTGGAAAGTATTTTTATGAAGAATCATTGAAAATGAAGAAGTAATAGATAGTTAGATGCTTCGCACTTGGCTGTAACTCATCTGCATACTACCTTAACTGACGCTTCCTAAAATAATATAATGGTTAAATCAAGTTAGCCTCGCCTAATTAACTAGTTCACTAGTTACTAGCGGTCCTAAGCCCGGATAAAAAGGAAGGGTTGGGCATAGAGCTAGTAACCCTCACCCGTAAAACCAATCCAATCGCTAGAGAAACTTCAAAGCACAAAGGAAATATAAAAAATAAAAACAAAATTATTCCTCGCTGGAAACGGAGGGACGAAAGGTCGCCGGTTGGTGAAAGCCTTCGGGAGGCCAATTGGCCGATGTGTCTTTTCTTCTCTCGATGAAAGCGAAAGTAAGGATGGGGACATGGAATGTCCGCACTATGTTTGAAGCTGTCTAGTAAGGATGCTAGATTGCAAAGAGATGAGAAGGTATAGCATAGAAGTGCTATAAATCTGCAGATGGAATGCAAGAGGATTCTCCCAACTGTCAACTGGAGGGTCAACAATCTACTCCAATATTGTCACCCAGACAGCAACGACGAGCACACTGAGTTTTCGAGTGGCTATCATGATGTCCCACTCCCATGAGCATCGAAGGCTCTCTTCCAGTGGGAACCAATCTCCACCACGATCGGGATCATGACAGCAAGATGGACTCAACTCAAAAGGAAGGAAAGTCACAATCATACAATGCTACGCTACGCACCTACAAATAATGCAGATCAAGAGGAGAAGGAGGAGTTCTACAGACAACTGCAATCAACACTAGATAACACCTCAGTTGGCTACATCAAAACTCTGATGGGCGGCATGAATGCCGAACTGGGAGCGGACAGCACAAGAAGAGAACTCATCATGGGTCGAGAAGCAGTCGGTGAAATGAACGAGAATGGTGAACTGTTTGCAGACTTCTGCGCATTTAATGACCTGATGATTGGAGTCGGTGTGTTCAAGCACAAGGATATTCAAAAAGCGAGCCACATGGATTTGATTTCAACAGACACCAGATACACTAAAAATCAGATCGACTTCATCTCAATGTGAAAAAAGTGGAAACGCAGCCTACTGGACACAAGATCAGATGAGGAGGGGGAGTAGATGTAGGTGGTTCGCACCACTCACGCCACTGTCTAGTGCAAGGAACCTACCTTCAAAACCAAGTTGAAAGCTTTAGAAGAAGTTGGTGATAGACGGCCACAGTTCAAGTTGAACACCCAGAACAGAAACTGAACTGAAGGACGAAGCTGCAAAGGACATCTTCATGTCAGTCATCGGGATAAAATGGGAGACATCGAGCAACATCCCTGGAGGAACCTGTGTGGTAGAACACTGGAGGTTTTTGAAGGCTATGTGGGAAAAACCTGGATAACAGCGTTAGGAAGAAGAAGAAGGAAGACAAGGCAGGTAATGGATCTCGACGGACACATGGAAGCTGATAGAGAAGGGAGAGGAAGATGGCGATGGTGAAGCAGAAAATGAACCAGTGCAGTTCTGTGCAGAGATGAACAACGAAGAGAAACTGAATACAACATATAAAATGCTACACTCGACAAAGAAGTGAAGAAGAGTTCACACAAAGGAATAAGACGCTTCTATGAAACACTTGTAAGTGAAACAGAACAGTCTGCTGGAGGAGAGATCTGCTAACATTATATCAAATAATTAGGTTAGTATCTGAAAAAGGCCAACTCAGGTGAAACCAATGGAAGATAGTGAAAGAAATCTAGTTACCAAAGAGGAGAAACAGAGGAAAGTATGGACTGATCATTTCAAAAAACTCTTGAATCGACCGCCATCACCACCACTTACAACTCGTCCAGAAATACCACCAGCAGCCCAGCCACAGAACTACCACTGAACACATGCCCTCCGACAAAAGCAGAAGTGAAGTCCCGAACACCACTCCATAAAGTTGAAGAAATCCGGGAAAGGAGCAGGACAAGATGGAATTCATCTAGAAGCATTAAAGACAGACACAGAGACCACAGCAGACACGCTGACAGCAATACTGCAGAAGGTTTGGAAGGAAGGGAAGGTACCTGCCCACTGATTGGAAGAAGTGCTACCTTGTCAAACTCACAGAGAAGGGCGACCTTAGTCTTTGCAAGAACTGGCATGGAATCATGCTCCTATCCACCCCAAGCAAAATACTAACCCGCATCATACTGGAAATATTAAAAGGTACTCTGGATTCAAATTTACAACCGGAACAGGCTAGCTGGCTTCAAGAAGAACAAACCATCATCATAGAATAGAGCACAGAATGGCAACCAACTCTACCTCGTCTTCATCGACTTTGAAAAGTCCTTCGGTGGCATCGACCGAGAAGTGATTTCGCAGGTGTTTCAACACTACGGAATACCACAAACCTTTATCAATCTCATTCAACAGTTACATGAAAACGCCACATGCCAGTTGATTGACAGTGAAAAGCTTAGTGACAGGGGTGAGACGAGGCTGACTGCTATCACCGATGATCTTCCTGATTGTGGTCGACTGGACTGGATCATGCAACGAACCGCGAGGAGCGAGAAAAAGGGGACACGCTGGACAGATAAAAAAAACCTTGGAAGATTTGTATTTCGCAGATGATTTGTGTCTAATATCGCACAAACCCGAAGATCTGCAGGCAAAAACAAACAAGTTGACAGAAATGTCAGCGAAAACGGGACTTCAAGTGAATGTACAGAAGATGGAGGTGATGAAGATACCCAAACACCACAAACAACAAGCACCAATCAGCATGAGCAGGAGAAACCTACAGGAAGTAGTCTTTTTCAACTACCTAGGCAGCATCGTTTAAACTACAGGCGGCACAGATGAGGACGTCAAAGCCAGGATCGGAAATCAAGCAAGACAGGCTTTCATCAATCTGAAATCACTGTGAAGAATTACTGCACTCAGCACAAAGAATAAAATCTGGATTTTCAACATCAACGTCACTCGGTGCTTCTACATGGTTCGGAAACTTGTCGCGTCACGAAAAGCATTTCCAACAAACTACACACATGCATCAACAGCTGCCGCCTACACTCACTCAATACTGAAGATCAGATGAGATGGCCAGAATAATAAGAATAAGCAACGAGGAACTATGGCCTGGCTGGCAACGAAACAACTAAAAACCTATCACCCAGCAAATATGAAGAAGAAAGTGAAGATGGATTGGGCATACACTGAGAAAACCATGCGGAGACATCACGAGCTAAGCCAGGCCGTTGAGTGGAATCCAAAGGGGAAACGACGAGTTGGGCGTCCAAGGTGAGGGTGACATGGAGGAGATCGTGTGAGGAAGAAATGAAAGCTTGTAGGTAGTCGTGGAACCAGATTCAAAAGACTGCAGAGAACAGAGTGAAATGGAGACCTGTCACTGAAGCCCTATGTTCCACTAGGAACCTAAGGGACAAATATTAATAACAATAGTTGTACTAATAAAATAAACCAAGTCATTACATTATTAAGCTTTTTATCCAGTAGGATGGAAGACAAACTTGTGTGCATTTTACTTATATAATGTATATAACAGGACAATACAGTTTTTTCAATTTGATCACTTTCTTACTTCTTACTGAATTCAATTAAACTGTTCTTAATAGGAAACTTACATATTTCAGAGCATTTTCATCATGAAGTGAAATCAATTAGGGGATTGTTTGGCTTGGTTTCGTATGAGATGATGAAACACAAACTCCTGAGACCGTAGAGAATAGAATTGAGATGATAAGATTTACCTGGGTAGACAGTGAGAAATACAGTGAACAAACAGTTATGTGTCGCCAACTCATACTATAGACTGGAGAAAAATCTAGGGGTTGAAGTGATATTAGGACTTGTTTAGTAGCTGAGTCTCGTAACTCAGTTGGTAGAGGAGTGGATTGGCAACCCGGCAACCACTAGTTGGAATCCTACAGTGGAACAGATTTTCATCTCACCTCCCATCATCACGCCGTATCAGTAATACAATAAACAATAATCAAGGCTCTCTGGGCATAAATGAAACTCTTATGAGCGCTTACTGGTTTAATGCAGGTTAAAAGGGGCTAAAATTGCCTTAAAAACTAATCTTTTTAGGCAGTAAGTACGCAAGTAGCTTAGAAATAGCAACTGTCACTGTTGCAATGAATGATGCATTCCTTACTTGGAGGTTAAAAATAAATCTTTATTCAGTTGTGTAAGCACCGATGAAATGAAGTCATAGGACTATTAAACAAACATTATCGAAGCTCATTGGAAAATAGACTTTTGTTGTCAGCAATATGATCAGCAAAAATTGAGGAAATTGTGTGGATTTTTGGTCGGTAGTCAAAACTGCCTTTAAAGGTAAGGCTTCTTACTCAGTCTTTCTTTAGTAACTGCTAACCATTCTCAGTGTAGTTTCGCACTGATTTTATTGAATATAAAGAACTGGCAGCAAGTCGTGTGTAATATCACAACTCAGCTTTAACTTTTGTATTGGAGAAAGTAACTATTTCCTATCATACTCTTCAGACTTAAATATTAATTATCTTTGATATTTTCGACAGGAACTTCATAATCTTGAACTTATTCTCGAATGCATAACGAGTTCAGATGGCCGAAATATTTTTGAAATTTCTTATTTCGTCATGTTACTGAAAAGCGTGATGATTCATCTGCTTTATGACCTTGAAATATATAAATATATATATATATGCACAGTTAAGTTGTTTGTTTTACCGGGAATCGTCTACACTTAGTCAGTCTTCATCATCAACTAGAAATTTTTCTGGGTTTGATTCCATATGGCATTGATTATGGATGCCTTTAGTCAAAAAGATCTGAGCTACTGAAAAAAGTTGTCTAGTATTTCTCATATTTTCAGTAGTTTTCTAGCTGATATCATTTCATTTTACAAACATGTTTATGTTCAACTTTTTCAAAAATCTTTCTTTATCACTACTGATCATTCAATTTAGTCAAGCAAGAAAAGCCCAGGCAGCTTCTGAATTTGAAGTAGTTCAATTAAAAGCTGAATATGTCAATGTAATGCCCAAAAAACGATATGATATGTTAATGGAAGAAAACGTTCAGGTGAAAAGTAAATACGACAATAAGGTTAGAGAATACGAAGATCTGAATGAATCTTTTGGGTAAGATGATAATAATAATCATAATAATAATGGTTATGCCTAATTTTAATTTGCTTTAATTTCAGATTACCTTGATAAACGGATTATTGGTTTAAGTATCTTGTAAATGAAAACCTTTTATTGATTCTAACGATTTTTATGTAAATTATAAGATATGGTTGGTATGAATAACCATTGTAATGAGCGATCTCTCTTTATTCCTTAGCTATTCTTTGATGGACAGGTAGGCAAATTTTAATTCAGTCCGAAGTTGTATCAGTTTGTCTGCGGAAATCACATACTGAAAACTTAAGGAGATATTTCTGTGTGCATGGAGTAATATATATATATATATATATATATATATATATATATATATATATATATATATATATGGAGTGAAGGTTATTTGGGCTAGGTAGTGGACTTTTACTAAGTTTTCTGTTAGAAACTTGGCTCACCTGCAGACACTTGAGCAAACACAGTAACATTACTTATTTAGAATGCATGCCTGATGTGTATAATGCAAATTTTTTTCTAGTTGTTATTCATCGTGAACTGACATCAGTTAGAGGAACAAAGGAAACCTGGGTGCACTGGACAGCTGTTTCGTCCTAGTACGGGACTCCTCAGCAGTGCACACTCACGACTCAACCAGGGATCGAAACCGTGACCTTCAGGTTCTGCCACCAGCACGTTACCATTGAGCCACTGGGTCAGAATCCAATGCTCCATATTTCTAACTTCCGTTGGCTCACGATATAGCGCAACTACCACCCAATGTCATCGTTGAGTAACTGTCCTCACGACCATCAGGCTTTGCCCTACCGGTCACGACTTCTCATTGGAACTTCGGGAATACCTCTCGAAGCTAGTCACCAATGAGCACCAGTTCAATTGAATTTTAAGGCAGTTGTGGGGATTTGGAAATATTTCAAGTTGTTATTCATCGTGGACTGACATCAGTTGGAGAAACTACTGAACTACAGCAAACTGGATGTATTCAGTAATTGTTTATTGTAATTATAAGTGTCTAAAACAGGCAACAAATGTAATTGAATTCATAAATTTCAGGAGAACTCGTCAGCTTTTTACTCTACATACATGATTTTATTTACTTTCATGCAATAAAGAAATAGATACACACATAATACATAATACATAATAAAATGGATAACTTAAAACACTGAATGAGGCGTCGCAACACGGGTTGAATAATTTAGTGATGTCAAATAAGATTAAGATTAGGTTGACAGAGGTAACAAACTGATAATGAGAAATGAAAGGACTAGGAATGGATTACATCATATCGAACAGAACAATTAGTAGTCAACTAGATACCTTGGTGTAGGTGCAGACTAAGGAAATATAGGTGTGTTAGGTAAACAAAAGTATTGATTATAATAATGATAATTATGAAACATCCAATAGATTATTGACATATGGTTGACACCATTAAGGGCTTTTCGGTTGCAATCATGAAAGCATTTGTGATTAGAGTTCGATAACCGAGCCTATGGGTACAGAAAGAGACGATAGTCACCCCGAATCTATCATGATAGAGGTGTTGAAGTATTTTGAACTTATTTAATTTTTATTGGTGTCTTTTTTTCCCTTTTATTTCTTTCCTCTAGACTATCTATATTCTGCTACACTATCCTATCCTCTTGAATTTCTCCGCTTAATAGTCAAATGACTTATTGCCATCACCATTATCATTGTTATCGTTCAACTATTACTCTAGCTTCCTTTAGTTTTACACTGTTACCAAGCTTCTTAACGGGTGTTCATTCACTTTGTTTAAAGTGACGTAGTTTTTAATCTTTTCAATATTAATATTTTCGTAGTTTTCCTTAGTATTATTATCACTCACTCGTATTATCATTATTATAATTGATATTTTTGTTTACCTAACACACCTATATTTCCTTAGTCTGCACCTACACCAAGATATCTAGTTGAATACTAATTGTTCCGTTCGATATGATGTAATCCATTTCTAGTCCCTTCTTTCTCATTATTAATTTAGAAGTAGTATTCATCATGGACTGACATCAGTTGAGGAACCACTGGAAACATGGGAGCACTGGACAGCTGTTTCGTCCAACTAGTATGGGACTCCTCAACAGTATGCACCCACGACCCAACTAGAGATCGAAATCAGGATCTTCAGGTTTCACGGCAAACTCGTAAACCAATCAGCCACTGGGTGAGTTTCCAGTGGTTTACAATTTCCAACTTCTGTGAATTCACGACATAGTGCAACTGTCACCCAAGGTCTTCAGTTAGCATCCATTTCACTTCCGACTGGTTGACGCCACAGGTCATGGCTTAGTTTGTTACGTCTGCCAACCTAATCTTAATTTTATTTGACATCACTAAATTATTCAGCGCATGTTGTCACGCCTCTTTCAGTGCTTTAGTCCTCTGTATTATGTGTCTTTGTGTGCATCTGGCTTAAGTTTCAATTTTCATTTCACCTTCAGTCACCACCTAGCATCAATACTAGTCTGCCAAACCGCGGCTATCTCAGATGGTCAAAATGATATTCTTGTATTGCGTGAAAGCATATAAAACCATGTATGTAGAATAAAAGCTGAAAAGGCCTACTGAAATTTATGAATTCAATAAATCCTACTTTAATTAAGTTTGTTGCTTGTTTTAAATTTGTATCGGGAAACTAATATTTTAAATAAAACCATCTCTCTGATTTTATGAAACGAAAGTTGTACTGTATAACTTAATCCACTTTAAATGGCATAAATTATCTGAGCATTCCATGCATTAAAGGCGTCAGGTATATGATACTAGTGGATATGAGTTCTCGTTGAACACTTATACTAATCAGAAGTGGTCATTGGTGCGATCCAGTTGATTCTCTCTTGATTTTCTTATTTACTTGACTATACAGAAAGTTTCTGAAACTAAAGAATGCAGCAAAACTGTACACCTGTTCCAGTTACCTAACATTTTAGGCAAAGTACACCAGCAAAAAGAAATAATTTGAACTAGGTAAACTAATTGTTCAGTTTACATGATCTGTGATAAAGACTTAACCGAATAGAATCAAAAATGGTGGGCACCGATTGAAAATTTGACGCTAAGCATAAGTTAAATTTCACATAAGTTTCAACATGTTTGAAGTAAAATAACTTCAAAGTTTCGCCTTAAAACCTCATTTTAGCTTCTTAAGGGAAATAATTAAAGTTAAAACGTCCCTTTCAAGAACCTGACTAAAGCTAGAAGAACAACAGTAGCAGAATTAGCATGCATTTTTTTCGTGATTTTTCCTCAGCTGCTTTATGACCTATAGAATATAGTGTTTGTGATGAATAATATGTTATGCAACGTACTTTAAGAAATGGACAAAATCTTATACGAATTGAGATAGAAGGTAACAAAGATTTAGGTTAACTGAAATTGATGAAGTTGTTAGGACTAGTCAAAGGTTAACTATTTATACAATCAAAACCTATATCAAAGGATACATAAATGAGTTGAAAACGTGTATTTAATCTCTTTAACTAATCCTGTTTTTTCGACCGCTAATCATGATAAGAAGTGCCAAATTTTTTCACCAGTGAGAAAATATTTCTTTCCAATCACTTTATTTCTAAGCTGTTTAGTCCTACTGATAACTGATAAAATGTTAGACAGTCGCATCAGAAATATGCTCAGTCTGTGTGCTTATTATGCAATTGCTGGTAGTATTGGTGATGGTGGAAGGATCTATCCAAGTGGATGAAATCGAAAAGGAGTCAATTAGAAAAAAATTAGTCTCAAAACGTATAATAAGGGTCAAATGCTGTTAAAAATGTATATAATAATGAAAATCAAAATGAAATATGCACAGTGAAGGGATACTTCTTATTCTAATGATATTCCATTGTAAATCTTATGTTTTTAGAGGCTTTCTTGAGTGGACTAATTGAATAAGAGTCATTTTGATGGCTACTGCAACCATCATCCGCGTGCTAATTGTAAAAGATTGTCTCTTCCATTGCATACTTCATACTCTTACTCTCAGGATTCCCAATAAAGGTATCAAGTAGTATAACACCGTCCGTTGCAAACTCATCGATTTGTTGATGCATAAGTTGTTGAATTTGAAGTGTAAATGCTTAGCGCACATGAGTGAAAACAGTTCGAATCATTCTTTGAGCTGAGACAAAGAATTAGAATACTGATATATGATCTCTATATTTTCTTCCATAATGATCTATTTTATTTCACTAAAATTGTTGTTCTCACTTTACAAAGATTTATCAAGGGGAGGGTTTGTACAAAATATTTATTTTAATAATTTGGTGTTTTATAAACCAAATGGTTCAATAATTCACTTTCAGATTAGAAATTTGTCGTTACTGAAAGTTTTACATTGAAGTGGAGCTTTTGATGTTTTACCCCACTTTTTAAAAATAAAAATATATGTATAGAATGACTGAGTTTCTTTCTTTCTTTGAACTGTTGGTAAACTGAGCTTATTCGTATACAACAAGAAGTTCAAGATTGAAAGAGAGTATCGCTTCCATTCAATAGGAGCAATGGGTTATGCATCAACGAAGTAATCACCGATAATAATTATTTTAATTCATACTTATCAGTAGATGAGGTTAGGACACTTGATGAAAACTTTACCAGTCTCATTCTTATTACACAATAAAGGCTACTGTGGTAGCACGTTTTAGATTGGAAAGGAAAAACGAAGAAATATATAAATCTAAGATACTTTCTTGTTTGATCGTTACATATCTGCTAATAAAAATATATCACCCAGGCAATATCAAATTATAATATATAATTATTATTTATTGAATTAATCAACAAATTGTTTACTGAGAGTTTGTTGTCATGCATTCATTGATATTAGGGAATTTTATTAAATCATATCAGGTTGTATTTGTGGCATACAGTAAAATTCATTTTATTTTCTGTTCATTTAGATATAGTAATAGATTGAGCAACTTAAATAACACCAGAGTATGTAAATTTTCGAACTGACAGATACTAAAAATAAATACAGAAATGAACCATCTCTTCATTTTTACCCGTTCAATGTTCAATTCATAAAAATGTATGATTAAATGAATATAGAAAATTGTGATAGAAATAAATGAATTATCTTTTATAGACTTTTAAAAACCCAACTAAGTGAAGTAATTAAACAACGGGATGCATCAGAAATAACACTTCATGAATTACAAAAAGTATCAACACCCAGGTAAGTTCATATATATATATATATATATATATATATATATATATATATATATATAAAACTACTTCCATTAACTATTGTTTCAATTTCTTGAAATCCTTGAAATCCTTCATTGTTCGGAACATAAGGTCAAACAGTAGTCATTCGATGTTATGCTACCAATTAATTGCTGTAATTCAACTGAATGAAATTCATTTTTCTAGTGAACTTCAGGACGTTATTTTAGCATGTTAAAGTAGTCTGGAAATAAAACTGTACACAGTTGTTATGTTCTTAAGTTAACTAGTAGTTACAATAATGAATTAGTTAAGGTAAGATATACACTCTAGATTTATTAATGAAGTAGTTGAATAAAACTGAAAATATAACTAGGGTTATCGAACATGTAACCAGTAAGACTTATTAGCAAATATGAAAGTTACTGATTGGACTGCCTGACATAGTTGTCGTTCGGTATGCTAGTAATACTGCTATAGAGTGATGATTCAAAGTGAGATTAAAACTCTAATCGTGGCAGAATTCAGACTAGTGGCCTATGGATTACAAGTCTGGGGTTCTTCCCCTCTCCCTCCTAAAGGATCATTTCATTTACTGTTTTTGAATCAACTGGCAAATCATAAATGTTTGATCAAAGGTCGAAACAGGAGTCATATAGTCGCTAACAGTTTCTTAGCTGCTGGGTATTTAATTTTGTGATAAAATTATACCTACAGACTACATAATTTTCTAAAGCAATTTTAATTGCCTCATAATCAATCAGCTTACAAAGTTATGAACTGAGATGTCCATTAAAAACTCTTTCTTAGGGTAAAAACATTGCATTTCCTAGTAAGTTAAAACCAGCAAACTTTTTCATCACATTCAAGACCAGAATGGAATGAAGTTGGACGTAAACTACCGGGTGGTTTAACAAAATGGCTAGAAGAAACTGAATCAATGACATCACAAGAAAAAATGCATTTCCTTGTCAACCAATTAACACTGCAAACTAATGAAGACAATGAATTCAATTTAAATGAATATATTAAGGTAAGGAAAGTTATTCTTCTGAATCAATACTTTGTTTCGAATCCCTTTTGGTTACGACTGCTGATAGACACTTGTTGGTTAAGATCTTTTTCTTTCACCCGTTGAGTTTTAAGTCCTAATCCTATTTCGTCAATTTCATGTTCAACCAACTAAAAAGTTTGATTAATTCTTGCACACTATTATCATTACTAACCTAGAATTTACCCATGACCGTTGGTTTTCACCGTTTGTTTTATCTGACAATATAAATTATTGAGTGATAGAGTTGACTACAAAGACTACTTCGTACATGTGAATATTCAAATTTGCTCGGTGAAATAGTTATTGTCTATACAAATGCAGTTTTTCCCTATTCATAAACTATGCTGTTCCGGTGACTGAAAATATAACTATCTGCCTTACAAGAATCAGGTTCAATCCGGTTTCAGATTTTGTTTATGATATATGACCAGGTATCACACCAACTGCATAAAATATCAGGTTTAATTAGAGGAACCTGAAATTAACCTAGGTAAGACTAGATGGGAGAAAATCAAGTGTTTAATTGTCTAACTGAACTATTAAAAGGACTGTAACAGAATTCTGTCATTCTTAATTCTTGGTAATGTGAAAGATGCAAGTTAGTTGGTAACATTGTAAACTATAGTCGTTCCAAGGTCTTTGAAATGTGTGTTAGTCACATATACCCAGTGACCGTCTAACCTGACCTGCAATCTTCACTGATTTAGAACTAGGTTGAAAAAAGCTAGGACTGGATGGACAAAAACATGACATCACTCCCTGACTATTGATTTCAACTTCCAAATAACATTTTTTCTCAACCCGATAACCCTTGAATAGTAATTACATAAATCTACTAGTTTATTTGGCTTTAGAATGGAGTTTACCACCGTACCATCTTTTAAATCTTCCAGGATAAGATGTTTCTTGACTGTTAACTACTCTTCTTTCAATCCATTTGTTAAGTAAACTTTTCTAATGCTGTTGTAAAGTAACCTCAATGGATCCAATTTATGGCTTATTCGAGAAAAAAAATGAAAAATAAACAAAACACAATTTAACAATGAAAATTTTCTTTTTGATGAATCATTTTCAGAAATTGAATATTCGTATTCATAGTTACAATGAAAATATATGTCCATCAGTGACCAATGGGTCAACTGAAAGTCATTAAAGGTTGTTTCCAGAGTTATTTTTATTATGACTATTTATCCCTTGGGTTCCTAATGGAACATAGGGCTTCAGTAGCACGTCTCCATTCCACTCTCTTCTCTGTAATCTTTTGAAACTGTCGCCACAAGCTCTCATTTCCTCCTCACACGATCTCCTCCATGTCACCCTCAACTTGGACGACCAACTCGTCGTTTCCCATCTGCGTTCCACTCGACGGCCTGACGCGTGATGTCATGAGAAGCCGTGACCAATGGGATCAACCAGTCGGAAGTGAAATGGATGCTAACTGAAGACCTTGGGTGACAGTTGCACTATGTCGTGAATTCACAGAAGTTGGAAATTGTAAACCACTGGAAACTCACCCAGTGGCTGATTGGTTTACGAGTTTGCCGTGAAACCTGAAGATCCTGATTTCGATCTCTAGTTGGGTCGTGGGTGCATACTGTTGAGGAGTCCCATACTAGTTGGACGAAACAGCTGTCCAGTGCTCCCATGTTTCCAGTGGTTCCTCAACTGATGTCAGTCCATGATGAATACTACTTCTAAATTAATAATGAGAAAGAAGGGACTAGAAATGGATTACATCATATCGAACGGAACAATTAGTATTCAACTAGATATCTTGGTGTAGGTGCAGACTAAGGAAATATAGGTGTGTTAGGTAAACAAAAATATCGATAATAATAATAATAATAATAATAATAATAATAATAATAATAATAATAATGGTAACTCTATTCTCTATTTATCATATTAGTGGTGATAACCTTACCGGTAGATAGTTGACGATTTCGTACTGCTTAGTTAGTTTAACCTATGACTTCATGTGAAGCTGAAATGAGTGTTAACTGCACAACCTATATATATTTAGTGTGGCATAAATTACAGGGCATTCAAGATAACTGACACCAAAAATATAGTTGACTTTATATTCATTTGTATATTCATTTGAACATATCCAGGATATTATCGTTGTCTAAATCATATACATATCGTGATGCTGAATTATCCATATCCCTTCTGGAAACTCTTATTTTTATCCCTCATTTGTTTCTTGTAGCTTACTGAACAAGTGAAGATATCATTTTCTGTTTTGTTTTCTTGTCTTTTTTCTTGTTGACCCCTTTTCTTTGCTCCAGCTTGCATTGCTGCAACATATATAAATAAATATTCAATTTAACTTGGTCTTCCTCAATGTATTTTTTCCAAAGGTCCTACATGCTAAGCGTACCTGAAGACATTCATGCAGTCTTATGGGTTTGTTAGTTCTGGTACTCAATAGATAAAGGAAGAAATAATTAACGAGTGCTAATAATTGTAATGCTTACGCTGTACGATAATTATTCGGTAAAAAAGTTGAGTGTTATTATTAAAGTTTTATCTCTTCATAACACTTTTTTTTATGAAATATGCGAAATAGTTTATGCCTACTTACCCATCTATTTACAGGAAGAATTGAATTTTACCCCATCATTTCTACTCACTGAAGGAAATGTAAATTTTAGGCAAATGCAACTTAGAGATTGTCTTTTAATGACCCATGAATTATGGACAGCAAGAAAAAATGAGAGAGATGAAACAAAGGTAAGAATATATTTTCTCTGCCTGGCTTTATTGTTTTCTTTTGGTTTTCATCTAAATAGAAGATAATCAATAAGAAACAAGTAAAACGCGTCAACACACAATCCTTATAATCTGTTAATCATCATGATTTTATGTGTTGTTTTTATACTACTGAATAACACAAGTAGTTAAAGGTTATTCAAACAAATAACAGTTGAATTCACAGTAACGAACACTAATGGATTAACTATTATCAGGTGAGTTTAAGTTCAGTTTCAAGCGATTAGAACAATCTACCTCTTTTAAGTGAATCTGTTTGTCCAGATTTATGGTGCGCTAAACACTAAACCATTAAGTTTACCACTGTTTATTGACAGTCGTAACTTTCCGTTGATTATTACACTAGCTCCACAATAGGTGATTCTCGCGAATCAGAAGCCTGATGGATAGCACTCTTGCTCTTGAAGTAATGAGTACCAAGTGTGAGTCTTAGGGAGAACGCTGTTACACCCAGATGCAGCTAAATTCAGTCCATGGGTCCCATGTAGAATGAAATGCATATCTTGGATTCCATTGATAGCCACATCGAAGCAAGTGAATTTAGTATTTTTTAGACCACTCTGATGCCGCTGGGAAGGTTTGGTTTTCCATAATATTGCTCTCGAACTACATGTATCTTATTCATCTACCTACTTCATTGTTTACCTTTAAGAGTGAGAGATTCACTGATTGTCTTGACAAAATGACTCCCAACAAAATTCCTAATGAAATTACTATTATTTGATTAAGTTACCAGAAAACGTATGGTGTTCTGTTTGTGAGTAATTACTAAGCTGCTGATGAAGCTATCGTAGACAAATTCAGCTCAATAAGCTAGTCTTAGGGAAAATGTGGCTAGTCAAGTTCAAACGAAAACCTAATTCACTGCTGGAATTTCAACAGTGGTTTTCCCAAGGTTTACTCCTGACGTGACTTGGGTTTTCGGTTCAGTCTGAATAGTAGTCATTAACTGACATCTCAGTTGGATCTTATAGTTGGTTTTGCAGTAAAACCTTTTTTACAGACATTCAAAAGACGTAGAAACGTCAGCCATTTAGTTCGTCTCAACGATATGTCTTGCGATCGAAGAACTCTGACATCTGCTACCAACATTTATGGGTTCAGGTGATTCGATTTGCTTCGAAAGCCACTTTGGAATGTGCTCCGAGGCCTTTACTTGCATGGACCTATGAGTCTTGTGTATCTACCACCAAACGTACATTTGAATTTGTAGATGCAGTGGGATGTGACATTGTTATCCTCATGCTGTAAGGGTTTTTTGTTTGGTGGTTCCTATTAGTCGGACCCCAGTTGCATAGTAATTCTTTCTATCAGCAGCGTTAAGTCTCTGCTTTAGAATTGCGCTAAGAGAGTCACTTTTGTACGGGAGACTAATGAAAACATCTTTCCTCAGGAGCAAGTAAAGAGCATGTTTTGGAGCTCTTGCTACATTGTGCTAGCTAGTAAATTTTGATGGAGAGTTATTTTCCCACAGGATTTCAGTCAATGTTCATCTTTCGTCTTCTAAAATATCATTGTGCGAATTCGTTGAATTACATTGAGTAAGAACCTAACTAACACTCGCTTGTACTGAACTGGACAAAAGCTATGATAATTCAAATATTGCTCTGTTCATGTTGGTCTTTTGTAGACAGATCGTCTTATGGATCCATCCTGCCACCAACTAATTAATATGTCCAAGAATAGCAAGCAGTTATCATCAAGGATACGCTGCTCTGGATTTCTTTCAATCAGTTTAGAATTGAAGTGAACTGACTTCAGTTGTTACATATAATTAGGATATTGTCAACATATTTTCGATGCAGATGGGCTTTCTCAATTAGGTTCCACATTCAATTTTCAAAGTGTGACATAAATATATCTGCTAAAAGAGGGTGCAAGAGATTTCCTACGGCAAAGTCATCAACATGACGGAAATGTTCACCCTTGAATGTAAATTTAATATTGCTTGTACATAAAAATAGTAACTCTTTTAAGTGATGCAGAGAAACAACTACTGAAAAACTAGATTAGCGGTCGCTGTTCTCTGTAAAACTATACTTCTTCTGAAGAGCAATCTCTAGTAAATTTATTTTCATCTTCAAGAATAGAAGACATTTTATCCATTATCACGACGTCCAAGCCTTTGATGTCTGAACACAATAATATCCGGGTTGTCTCATAATTCTTTCGTGGCACTGAAATGTTCAGAAGTTAGAATACTTTTCTGTTTCTGATGTCTGATGACCAGTATCCACCATTTTGACTTTCAGCCAGCCTTGTTCGTCAATTTAGGTTGAAACAAGGGGTTTCAACTGATCATATAGATTTTTAAGCTGTGCGTAAAAAATTTAAGCCGAAGGGATTAGGCTTCCTCCGGAGTTGTAGAAAGTGTCACTGTAGAAACATTAGTAACATACTTATTCCGATTAACACTGAAATAATTAATGTGATTTTTATTGTCTAGTGAGTTGTTTAACTTCCAATGCATATTGATAGATCATGATACATTTAGGTGGAGTAAAAGCAATTCATGCAACTTATCCTGCCCATTTTCGAAATGTGACTTTGTAAGAGGCATAAGATGAGAAATGTTTGGCTGCAAATTATTAGATTTCAAAGTTTATAAAACTGTCTGGGGAATATGTGACTTGAAAAGCATGATTGGTAAAAATCCATTTCTCTGACGTTCAGAGATAATTTTGCACCTTATGTTAACAAGTCCATTTAACCTTTTGATAGTGTGCGGGCGAAATCTTCACTTCTGAAATTCAAAACAGTTCCCTGTAAAAACTTTAGCTTATCAAAGCCAGTACATAGATTAATCTGTTTGATATGAAGTTGGTTAATTGATGTCTTATTTTTTTTGTCTATCAGAGGTATTCCCAAATAATCACTAATCCATCATGAATTTTTGGTGTTTAGAAAGTTAGTTATTACATCTATTTCAAATTTGTGTAGTTAACTTGGGAATTCCTAAAGAAAATTTATCTTTCATTACTTATGACTGGATGTTGTCTATATTATTTTCCAACTGATTTCTCATTGACCTATTAAATTATATTCTTTAAAGAAGCCGTCAATAGAGCACAGAAGAAGTTCGTTTACTGGAAGACGATTTTCACAGGTAAAATAAACCATCAAATAGAAAAAAACAACTAACTGAGTAATTTATGCACCCAACTGTTATAATTCACACATATTTATCTGTCTTCCACATGCACATCAGCTCTGAAACTCTTTGCACAATCGTATTGTTTACTCCTTGTATTTATACGAAGAATTTCCGTTTATGGGTTAGAAAAACAAGAATACTCTGACTAAAAATTGTTGCCAGTCAGCTGTCAATTATCTCGTAAAAGTTTGTAATTTATCCTAGCCACTCGAATATGCCTACGTGCAAAATTATCATCCAATACACATATAATGAATGCTATAGTAAATAAGTTTATAAGTGGTCATTCATTTTCGTAAGTATCGAATTCAGGTAGATTGATTTGATTTAGTACACAGTCATGCAGTATTATTTACTAGATAACGCTTAGAGCACTACTCCCTACTTATAGTCATGTCAAGGTAATTACACAACTTCTTGTAGTTATGCCGCTTTTCATTTTCTGATTTTATTAATAGAAGGATTTTCCATACATTTGAAATTGGTGTTGAATCTTTCCTATTAGGCATATTATGCGTTGAATCTATGAACAATCGAGTGGGACAGAATCACAGTCCTAAAGACTAATGTAGATATTTAGAAGGAGAGGATGATCACTCGATCCTTGTTCATCGATCTAACGCTTCAATGTGTAATAGTAATGATTCAACACCGATTCCAGATACCTGAGGAATACTTCTATCAATGAAACCAGAGAATAAAAGCGGCAGAAATATTTAAAAGTAAGTAAGACAGGAAGTGTGACTACTTTGATATGACTATACTCAAAACGTCATATAGTGAATCATACCTTATGGCCACATGCCGTATTCAGTAGACTAATCTAATATGGTATTCATTTAAGCTGTAACAAAGATAATGACACAGGGATATTAATAGTCGCATAGTACGCACTGTACACGCGTAATGTGTAAATAGCCATGGTATGTTAAACACCTTAAACAATTTTAAGCATTTCTGCCATTTCATAAACTAAGAAATATAAAGATAAAGAGCAGTAGGTTAGGAGAAACATGTTTACCTACTCTATGATGAAGCGACACTTGAAATGATCAGTAGACTGATTGATGTGAAAACCAGGGCTCATCAACAAAAAGTAGGAGTTGAAGTGCAATCAAAATAATGAATTGTCTACTTGATACCTAAGTTCGCTCGTAAGTCTTTTGGTAATTTTTGTCAGTGTCATGTTCAGAAAATGATCTCCTATGAACGGTAGGTGGAATCTATCATAAACCTTCATTTTTATCAGCCTATTAACCATCACGGGGAAGAATTTGACCTTCGGATCTGACTTTCTGAGTGAAGAACAGACAAAAAGGCTATAGGGATCTACACAAAAGAGAAGTGTATGTTGTTGACAAGCTGTTAGCCTACGTTAAAAAAAAATAACGAAAGCAACTGGATGAACAAAGAATCTGAGGGATAAGGACAAAAAAAAAGAGTGACAAAAGGTTTAGAATTAAAGAGATAAGTGCTCATTGTATCTCCTATTTCTTCGTCTTTACTGTATGATTCAGAGCTACTCCAAGCAATATGTAGTATTCCGTTTGACCAATTCTAGAAAGCCAAATTATTGCAAAAATTTACAGCGGAATTTCATTTCATCTACCACATACCTGATATAGAGTGGTCATTGAAGATGAAATGCAAACATTGATCGGGAAATAATAAAAACTACAGGATTCGGGATTATAGACCCGCAACTCTGCCAGAAGTACCATGACACTCAATTGTTGATTAGGCCTTAATTTCACTCCAACCACCGAGGATTGTTGCGGCCATCATTTGAATGCATAACACTTACCTT